GTAATCTTCTAGTCATATGAATATTAGAGAATCACAGAAAGTAATAAGAAATTCTTCTTCTTGGTGCCTTCCGGAGCCCCCAGCTTTCAATGATGCCTCCCAGGTTAAATGCAAACTAGAAAGATCCAGTTTTTCTCTGTCATGGTGCAGGTTTCAACATATGCAATTAGAAACTAGATCTGTTATGTAGTTTTGTAACAGGAATGACATCTCTGAAATGCAGGAGTCTGTGTGGTTTCTGTGGATGCTTTCCCTTCTCAGAGCAAAAGAGCAGGACCAGAATTATAATCTTCTAGAGGAAAAGAGAAGACTTCAGATCACAGGTTTTTTTCTCAGCAGGAAACTGCTCAATTCCTTGGGAAGGAGTTCATGAGGCCAGACCAGGCGAGGGGCTGTAACACAAGTGTTTACCCTGCCTATCTCCTTGGCCAACTACCTGGCAGCCTGGCTACTGCAGACCTCTCCACACCCACCCATCTGCCCTCACTACAGTGTTCTCATATTTGTACTGCATCCTTCTCTGCTTAATTTAATGTCCATGGTGGCAGTTTTCAACGATGCTTAGCTTTCTTCTCAGGCTATCTAAATTAACTCCCCAGGTACATATCTTCATCATCATCATCATCATCATCATCATCATCACCATCATCGTTTTGCTACCACTTTCATTACAAAGATTCATTGAGGGGGCTGGGGATTTAGCTCAGCGGCATAAGCACCTGCTTTGCAAGCAGGCAGTCGTGAGTTCGATCCCCGGTACCGATAAAAAGGAAAAAGACAAAAAAAAAAAAAAAAAAAAAAAGATTCATTGAAATGGCCTGTATCCCTAAATTACATTATTTTAACATGTAATTTTTAAGGAAACATATTGCAGTGCTAGGATTCTTATTCCACTTAATTTCTTCTCAACACTTTTACACAGATTGTCAATAAAATAGTCAGCTACCCTAAATTTTGAGAGAATTTTGTATATCTGATGCTGTGTTAAGCACTTTTCAGACATATGTCCCTTAATCCTTAGTATATCAATTTCATGAATAAATAGGAAATCTAAAGTCATCTCTTCAATATTTCTCAGCTTGAGTCAATAGTAGAACCAGGATTCAGAATAATCCAGGGACTGTGCCAGACATTATCAACAGGAAACAGAGTCTACTTTGGGTTTAGATAAAGTGTAAGATTCTCCATGAAACAGATTTTGAACATGGAAGATACTTGATGGCTGCTGCACGTGTGATCTGCACACCTGCAGTGAACGACGTCATCACAGATCCTGTTAACAATGGGAATTCTTGGGTCCTTCTTGAGCCTCTAGAAGCCTGCTTCATATCTTCTGCAGTTCTTAATCTGGACTTTGGACACATAAGAGTTCAGGAAGTTGTTTAGTGGGATTTGTGAATTCCAAAGAGCAGCAGGTGTTTCCAGTAGTGCATTTATGTCTTGGATAAATCAGTTTTTGTAAGTGTCAAAGATATTTTTGAGCCATTTCATTGCATACTTGCATGATGATGATTCTGGATTCAATTTAGATACTTGTACTATTATTTTACATATTTCCTCAAATTCAAGTATACAGAGATTCACAGATTTTAAATTTAAAATGTATCTACATGGATTAAAATACGGAGAAAACAGATGTATTTCAAACTCCCACCTTCTGTTAACATTTCCTTGGCAACACTGCTGGTTGACCAGTAGTCATTTAGTTTGTTTAAGGATTACTACTGAGATCCATATTTCTTACTAGGCAGTTTATTCTTTCTTTTTTCCAGGGAATCTACCTTTCAAATATTGTGTCAATGTTGTGCTTACCTGTTCCTTAATGAGATTTAGAAACAATATTCCAAAATATAACTCCTTGGCATTACAAAAAGAAAGATCTCTGAGTTTCTCTTGCCCATCTTCTTTGGAATCAGTCAAAAAAAAAAGCTGAATTTTCCAACTTTCTCATCAAGCAGTTTATAAAACTTTACTTGTGCGATATCTTTACTAAGCTTCAGGACAGGAGCATCTTTACTTCAGAAGATAGATGAATAAAGAGAAGAATTGACAATTCCCCCTTGACATTTATTTTTATAAGATTGTACCCCTTTTGTGTAACCATATTCTGTGCAACTATTCAGTCTTTATGAAATCTACTATAAAATATACTAAGGCACAGCAAGTTATAGTATATCTTCATTCACTTTATTCACTAGATCTGGAAACGTTCAACTTCCAGCCCTGCCTCAGTGTCAAAGGCCATGAAAGGTAAACATTTTGAATCTATCTGTTCAGGACACAGAAGCAGCCCCAAGAGTGCAACTACAGACCTTCATGAAGAAGGACGTCTACGACTGCCCGGGAAGGTGGAAAGAACAGTAAGATAAGTGTGTGCCAAGTGAAGGGAAGTCTGGGGTGGCGGATGTGGCAATTTATTGTATTGTGATACTATAAATTTAAATATTCACTGTCTCGTTGATTCCACCTCACGCATTTGTGCCTCTATGTTTGACTTTGTGCAGTATTTTGAAACTGACATATTCATTTCATTTTATGTTCTGATTTGTTAGCTTTCACCAAACATTTCATTTTATAAAGAAAATGAAATGAAACATTTCTTTTCTAAAAAAGAAAAATATAAATGAAATGACTTTTACCAATGTATTTTTCTTAAAGGCTTCCGTTGATTATATTGTCAATGCCCATTATGTGCAAAAATAATCAGAGTAATCCACTTTAGAACTTTTTAAGAATGGAACAGTTTATGAACCTGTTCACATCATTAGCACCGAGAGAGCAGACCCTATCACTAAACCAGCTTTTCACAAGCAGTATAAGACCATGAATGACACCTAGAAATTGCTTCAGTGATCCAGAGTAAACTGGACCTGAAGACAGGAGCACATTTAAGGCTGTTCGACGTTATTTAAGTATCTCCTTCATCTATGTCTCTGCTGATTTCTCTCTTTGTCATGGTTGTTACATCTGTTTTCAATGTGCAGATTATTCTCTTGTGAAAAAAGAAGAAAAGTCATTACAAACTCATGTTTTTCCCAAGTCACTTATCAATCCACTTTAACTCATCCTTAGCTACACACACATCACACAGTGCTTTCTCTTACCCCTAATGTTTCTGCACATCTGTTGACTTTTTAATTCTAGCTGTTCGTGCTGCTCTGAGTCACATCTCCTTAACTATCCTTGGCCATGGATTCTTCCATAGCTGGTCTCTCAGTTCTGAAGAACCTCTTCACCAACCAAGGTAAAATTATAATTGGGGGGATCATTTAAGCTTAAAATAAGCCAAATGGGACTGGGGACTTAGCTCAGTGGCGTAAGTTCCTGCCTGGCAAGTGTGAGGTTGTGAGTTCGATCCCTGGTACCAAATAAAATAAAATAGGCCAAATATCCTAGATCTATTTACCTTATCTGTTTAGTATATACATCTTCAACATTCTCTTATAAACACATATAGTCAATAAGTCTGATAGGGAAGTAGTTTTGTCAGCCATTACTTTATCTTGGTTAATGGAGCTAATGTAACCAGTTATCCAAAGCAGAGATCAGGAGGTGTTTTTTTTGTTTTGTTTTGTTTTGTTTTGACTCACTTTGGCTGTACCGGCAATCACTCAGCAGGTCCTTCCAGTTATCCCTCAGCATCTCCCTTACATCCCATTCTTCCTCTCCCTCCTCACTGCCACTGGGTCAGAGGAAGGGTGCACCATTCTCTTTCCTTAGAGTTAGTCATCCCTTTGCTGACATGTCCAATTCTTAATAAAGTCTTATGTAAACCTTCATCTACATTATCCCTGGAATAATCTTCCTAACATAGATGATAGATATGAGTCATTGTTCAAATCCATATACACTATCACTGAACACAAGAGACAATCCATGTTCCTAGCATGGCCTGTTCAATCTTAGGACTCTCAATTTGCCAACCTCAAGACTATTCCCACTCCATTCTGAGCTCTGTGCTTTATCTTTGCCTTGAATCCCCATCCACCTGACATCTATGCAGACATTTTCTTCTCCTTCTTCAAGATGAAGTTCTCATTTTCTTTTAAAGGTTTTTGTTATCCCACAATTTGAAATTTTTACTTGTTCCTCTGAGTCACGGGTGGGCCATGAAGATACCTCTATTTATTGCTTATTAAACTCTCTGGCAAGTATTTGCTTATGTCATTTCCTAGGATAGGCTGTGAAATACTCTGAGGGAGAATCAAGGCTTATTTGCTTCTTAATCTACTCCCTATGCACATGTACCTATATAGCAGGCAGAATAATAGTCCCCTGACCGAAGTACCTATACTTCAAGTCCTACAATGCAGAAATATGTTGAAATATATGACAGAAAGAAATTAGGGTTTCTGGTGGGATTAAGACAGCTATTTACCTAATTTTACCCGAAAAAGGATTGTCTTAAATGATCTGTAGACCCAAGATAATCACAATTGTCCTTAAACTGGTAGGAAGAAGCATAAGCAAAGGTCAGAGTGATGCAGTTTGAGAAAGACCTCAGTCTGCTCTTGCCAACTTAACAGACAGCAAATGGAACAAGAAGCTTTGGAAAACTAGTGAATTCTGGAAGGCAGCCTTGCAGACAGGTTGGTGATTGGCAGTGAGACCTGGGATGGACTTCTGGCCTCTGCAAGTACAACATAAAACATTTGTGTATTTTTAAAGCCACACCAGTTGTTGTATTTTGTTACAATGGCCATTGGATACTATCACAACACAAGCCTCATCCATGAATTGGTAATTTGGTTTGATGTGGATTTTTTGGTCTAACTTGGTTAATTTTCAAGCCTGTTAAAGCATACAATTGAGAAAAAAAACATAAGGATAAAAACTTTTAATATATTGAATATACGCATAACTTACCTAGTTACATATAAGAAAAATCAAGTATTTTAGGCAGATTTCATATCAAACTGGTAGATTTTTTGATACATTTTTGCCATTTTTCTTTATTTCCTTAGAATTATGTAAGATTATAAAATAAAATCTGCATCCCATGGTTGGAATTCCACTCAAGGAAAGTCTCCTCCATATGGAAGTGTATTTCGGGGAGAAATAGTTCTACCCATTTCCCAGGTATGTGAGAACTTTTGGCTCCTCCAGTTATCCTCCTTTTCAACGTGGCTGACTGCTGAACCTCGCTTCGCCAGTGGGAGGCACTTCTTAGAAGAAGAGTGCTAAGTGGGCTTAATATTCCAAAGTTTCTAGCAAAGAAAGTGTGTGTGTTCCTTGAGGCAAAGGACTTGATTTGTCATTTAGTTTTGCACTAACCTCATGGATTTAAGGCCTGGGGTGGGGAAAAGAGAAAGTGATTACATTCGGTGAAATGGACAAATAATACCAGAATGAGAAATTCTGTTAAAATGTTGGATGTTCTCCCCAAGGCAAGTAATGCTATAATGATCATAATATACTACCTCTCTCATATTGCTGGGAAGTATAAAACACAGCAACATACCTACCTTTAATTAGCTGTATTTAGTATTTTTATGGCCACTGAACATAGTACTTAGATTACCATATATTAGCATATAATTTGCATACATACCTCAAGGTATTTGGTTTTATTGCTATTACCTTTTGTGGACCTATTTCAGTAATGACTCTAATGGAATACAAAGAAAAGATTTCTGACTCAAGTCTCTTTACAATCTTGGGAATTTTATAATGGAAAGTCCCATGTTAAAATATAAAATTCTTGTCCCCAAAACGGCTGTCCCTTCTTAATGTAAGCAATTGGCTCAGGTGCTCATCTGCAAGACATTTTACACCCAAATGAAAGTATTTTCATTTATTCTGAGCTCAATAAAGGCATATTTTATAAGTAAGTATTTGGGTACAAATTGCTTCATCTTTGCTTGAAAGAAAGCTGCTCTCACCATTTAATGACTCTTAACAGTCTATCACCAGCTAAAGGCCGAGAGAAAGAAAAATAACAGCTGCAGCTAGAGAATTTAGAGAAAAGTCAGAGGTCAGTGCCTGCATCTGCATTCATGGGGGGACGGAGAGGGAAAATAAAGGGGCCCTCTTTGTTGCAAGTCAGCACTATTTTAGAAAGTGCAGATACTGACTTAATTACCAGTGTTCCCTTTTGCACCGGGGTGCCTTGGTGGGCTATAAATCGATACCTAAGGTCACATTGCTAAAAGCATGAAAAAACTTACTCATTCTAGCATTTGGGAGCATTGTTTTCTGCTTCTTCCTCCAGAATCCCCAATGTTCAATATGAAATAGAGACAGGACCAAAGTCATTACTGACGGAATGAGGCTCCTGTGACATAGGCTTTTTGAACTCCATGACACTCGTCATTGGGGTCAAAACTCTCATTGCTCCTTGTTGGTTTTAGTTGATTAGTTTATATTTCATCTTTACATCCAATGTGAATGTCTAATTGCGTAAGTAAATTATGTGAATATGTGCCAATTGGGAAAGAAAGCTAACTTCTGGGAGTTTTTGTTTAGGAGGGCAGTTTATAATATTTTTTAAAAAATCATTTTAATGTGTTTGGGACTGCTTATAGATATTTTAGTCACTTTTCTATTGAAAATATTATAATAATTTCTCTATCTGATTTGATAAAGCAGGAGAATATTGGTTCTGTTAAAATGTTTTGTTAATCTTTTTATTGGAAATCATCTTTGTATTGCTAGAGATACTGTAATATCTGAAAAAAGGTAATATGCAAAGTCAATAATTATTCCCAGGTAAAACAGTCTTAACTCACTTTGACTGTCTGAAGAGTCAAAAAGCGTTTTTATTTGCTTACATAAAAGGTACCGCATCTGAGCGCCACTGAGGTACATACAGTTCAAAGGGTGATCTGACCTTATCTGCATAGGAAAGAACATCAGGATTCATCCAGTCCTTTAACTATCACTGCCATCACTGATCAGATCAACCATACAGTAGGGCAATATGATTGTTAAGACAAATGAAATAACTGCATTGATTTTTGCCAGGGGCAGAGTGAACCACATAATAGATGTAACATCTTTATGTTTTGAAGTCTTAGGGCTTGGTATATGCATTTAAAGGGGTCTATAATGATTTAATTTTCAAGGGGTATTACATGCCATTAAGCAGACTTTTGCAGTAGAGGAAGCATGAATTATAGATGTATGAAAATAATACCTGCAAGACTTTCTCTTTTTTTTTTTTCTGTTTTTCTTCACAATTAAAAACAAACTTTAAAGAGAGGTTTTTTCCCTGAGCTGCTTAATTTGGTCCAATTATTCATTTTTCTTGTGTCATCTAAGTTGGTTTTATAAAAAGCATAGATGGTATGTATACATAGTTATACAAACTATGGTATGTATAAATACCACCTGGCCATTATTTCACTGACTCATGGCATTTTGAGCAGGAAAATCCCTTAAGAGTCATCGAGTCTCACTAGAGGCCATCTCATTTTGCTGCAAATGCTTGGCTGAAAAGAATACTACAATCCAGTAACTAATTTGTTTGCAGGGAAATTTTCCAATAATTAAGAGGCACTACTCAATACTTTGCTTTAGGATGGCAAGTGTTTATTTACCTGATTATCTCTACAAAGTGTCCCACCAATAATGCTAAATAATGCTGACAAAAGGAGATTTAGCTTAAATAGAATGGTAGCAACTGGTATTTTCCCAGACTCCGCCTTCACAGAAATGTGAAGTTGGCAGCTTCATATTCTATTGTCTTATGAAAATGGGGAGTAGTTGGAAGCGGCTGTTCAGTTACCACCATGGTGGACTCTCCAGAATAACACACATATAATTATAACTGCCCGGCTTATAAAACACGAGTCATAATTGAAGGTAGTGTGCGCCCTAACTACAGAGGGCAGTCTGCCCTGGCATCAAGCTGCCCATCTTGTCTTCAGGGATCCACAGAGCTTATACACATTCCATCAGCCTGAGCCTGCCAGCATGTAAATGTCTCTCTAGGGCTTCACCATTACCCGATTTGAATGCTGAGAAGATGCTCATAATTGCTTATTATGACATTAGACAAGAGAATTCAAGTCCCATTTGATTGTAATGAGTTTGTGGAGGCTCTGTCTTTTGTGGGGCCAATCACATACAGAATTGAACTTGAGCCGTGTTTGTGGAAATGGAATTACACTCAGAGTTGGGGGGGGGGGCTTGGACCTCATGCATTTAAAATCTTTCTTATTACTTTTGGTGGAAACAAAACTAACATCAATTATAAGATCTTTCAGCAGGAAAACTCAAACTTCTTTCCAAACTAATATTTTTCTCATGTTATCATTGTTAAGAATTCAGAATTCCTATCTCCACATTAAGCAAATTAAATGGCAAATACCAGTGTGTGTGTGTGTGTGTGTGTGTGTGTGTGTGTGTATGTGTGTGTTGTGCGTATATGTGTTTGTGTGTGTTTAAAATGATTTCAGAATAAGTGATGGATAGAATCAGCTAGCTTTACCTATAGAAAAAAGCAATAAAAAGGAGAAAATATGTCCACTATATCTAGCTATGTGCCTTGAAAAATTACCCATTTAGAACCAGATGAAATACCTCTGCAGCAATTTCATTATGGAAAATGTCTTAAGAATTTTAAAGATTACCAGAAAGCCTCTATCCTGTTTTTATGAAGGTAGAGAGTCAGAAAAGAAGGGGAAAAGAGCCTTTTACATTAACACATGGCATGGCCACAACAAAGAAGGGCAATATAGAGGGACAGGACTGCATCTGATTTCTAAGTGGAGAAAGGAACACCCATTTGAAGGGGCCTGGGAATTGGTGGTTCTGTGCTTTGTGGGAGCATCCACAGTTCCATTTATTCACAGTGGTAACCAGATGGCTGAAGGAGGGAAACAAAGATGAATTGGACGCTAATGGAAAGCACACTGAGACCCTGGGGCTCTCATTCAAAGCTGGAGCTGAAACTGGCCAGAATCTGAGCACACAATGGGTAAGTGTTACAGGGAAAACACTCACGGCACACAGGTGCCTTCGCTGTCTCACAATAAGCAGGCAAACAGCGCATTAATTGTGTGCCCAGTAGAGAGTTTTTCCTTATAAATTAAAAAAATGCTGCTGTAGCCATTCTGAGAACAACACAAATCCCCTTCCTCTCAAGTCTAGTCATTAAATATTACCAGGAGAGAAAAGCTTGCATTACGGTTCTCTTTTGAAGGAAACCCTGATAAGAATTTTTAAAATAATATACAATATTTGTTTATCTAACAGACTTCAGCAGGTCATTTCATTTGTATATGGAGACATTAGATGGAAAAGTAATGAACTAGAAGTGGAATACAGTCATGCTTTTGGTTTGTTTATTTTTTAATCTTCACCAATTAACTGAATGGCCCTAGGCAATCTGTGTAATCTCTTAATTTGGTTGGATTCTAACATGTACGAAGCACACTGCTTTCCAGTTAAACAGAGTGTTAACCAGTGTGCTATATGTTCCATGCAGCTGGGTTACCTAGGATGCTGAGTTCATTACATCAAAAAGTTATTTATCCAGTAGCTTATTTAAAAAATGGTTAAAAACAAACAACATCAAATCAATAGTGTACTGAGAATTTACCATCTCCTACTAAAACAGGGAGATAAAATGCTAGAAATAGAAGGCGAATAAATGGATCTGCCATATAGGAGTTCAAAATATGATAAGGGAACTGTTGACTCCCAACAAATCACATAGCACAGTACCTAAAATATTGACTTTATAGGACTATTGTGCTTCAAAAGGCCAGAACTATACTCCAGCCTCTGCCTGTCAACTATGGAACTCTACAAATGAATAAAAAGTCAAAATGTCAGTTTCTTCCCAGCACAGTAAGAACAATTGCAGTGGCTAGCTCACAGGGATGCTAAGAGGCTTAAATCCCATAATTCATACAAAGTAATTAATGCCACATATGACAGGTGTAAATCAATACAAAAGTATTGATATTAATTATTATTGAATCAAACAGATGAGTGTAATGTTGAAAACATAAAAGGAATATATAAAGTGTTATTTAATAATGATGTAAAGGAATTTATATATTCTGTTACTATAAATAAGATAATAAAATCAGTTATGGTCTGAGTTGCATTCCTGATCCCAAATTCATATGTTAGAGTCTCGACCCACAGAACTTCAGAATGTGACTGTACTTAGGAACAGGACCCTTAAACAGATGCTTGAAGTTAAATGAGATTGTCATGGTGGGCTCTAATCCAATCCAACTGGTGACATTTTGAGAAGAAGAAATCTGGACTCCAAGAGACCTCTGGAATGTGGCTATTGGAGAAGAGACCATGAGAGGCCACCCTGAGAGACACCAGAGCTGCTGACACTTTAATCTTGGAGGTTCAGCCCACTGTCCTGTGAGAAACCGATGTCTTCTGTCTAAGTCAACCCTATCATACTTTGTTATGGAGACCTGATGAAGCCAAGCAAAAGCACATATGGCAAAGAAGAAAAATAGCTGCTCATATGCCAGAGATTAAAAGGATATATATGTTTCTGAGTACATGTAGTTTTTAAAATAAATACAAATAAAAAATGTACAAAGAGATACTAAAATAATTAAACAATATGAAACAAGTAAATTTCTTCTATTTGCAGTGGCTAGGAATTATCATCAATATATTCATGGGTAAAATATATACAGAAGAATGCATGTTAATTGATATAGAGATGACCAATGATTCCTATACCCTCAGGGGTATCCCACAATAAATTTAGGGTACTTACTTTTTCATATACCTAAGAGAAATATCCATAATCACCATAGACACCTGAGGTGGGCTGTTCTCTGGTTTTTCAAATTGAGCATGTGGTACCACATCCAACACAACTTCTTGTGCAGTAAGAACTCAATAAATATATGCTGATATGCTTGACTAACAATGCCTTTGATGATAAGTTTTATAAAAGATACACATGACTTCAGTGAATATGATGAATTCTGTTAGGACTATATATGGGCAGCTAGAAAATGAAACAATATTTATATTCGTAAGAGGTATTTCACTGGATACTTCTTTATGTCACCTTATTTCAGTCATTTGATGTATATTCATTCCTACAGTTAGTGCCAAATAAAACATTTGAATTTAATTTTCACAGCTTCACAAGTGTCAAAGAAACTAAAAAGTAGGATTAATTTTACCTGACAAAGTTTTTGGACTTAGGGGTAGTCCAATCCAATTACAATTTTCATTATTTTTGTGATGATTCTCTGTGGTGTCCTAAAAAATGTCCAAAAGAGAAAAGAATTATGAAAAATGTTTTAAAAATGATTGCACCTGCCTGTAGTGATTATATTGTCCTGAGCAAGTAATTGTTTCTAATTTTCTCTTCTACTTCCGTAAGTAGGAAAAATACTGTCTCAAACCCTGAATAATGTACAATTCTTTTAAATTCCATGTATGGTTTACCAGGTTTTGTCAGGAAACTTGGGCTCAGCTGGGCTCAACTGGCCTCACGTGAACTTTTCCATCTCTCTGCCTGACAGTTGGCCAGGGATTCTAGCCAAATCATTAGCTTCTTTTCATGACTTCTTACCCCTCAGTAAACAGTGGCAAAATTATTTCATAAAAAAAATCTTATTTAATGTGTTGATATTTTTGCATTATTTCTTTGGTCTTTTCTATTTCTGGAAAAAAAATCTTTGAGAAGTTATGAAAATTGATTTTTTTAATTTTTTACATTTACTTTTAATATACAGCTTTGATGAAAATATATTCAAAATTGATTTTGCATATGTTAATATTTATAACTTAGATCATTACTGTCACTTGAACAAATTATATGAAAATTTCAATTAAAATATGTCAGTGATTTTTCTAAAATGACAACAGAATATAATAAACTGCATACTTTTTATTGTATTTTCTTAGTCATCTTAAAATTACAACTATATCAGAATATTCAGACATTCACAATCATAAAGCAACTAAGTTGTTTCTACTGTTTCTCTGGCTTCCAATAGAAGAAACTCCAGCTTTTCATGTGAGTTTGGATTTTGTCATCACAAATGCTTATTTCTCATAGAAATACATAATCTATTTATTAATCTTTTTTTTTTTTGATACCAGGGATCGAACTCATGACTGCGTGTTTGCAAGGCAGGTGCTTATGCTCCTGAGTTAAATCTCCAGCCCCTATTTATTAATCTGAAAAATTGATTTATCATTATTATAGTTTTAACTCTATGTACGGGAGGTTCCCTTTAGGATCTAATTCTAACGGTCACAATTTTCAAGATGATGCTGGTGACTGAAATATCTTACACAAGAAAGTAGTCTGGTGGATACTACACTTAAGATACTATTCCATTGACTTCAATAAGCCCAGATAGAGGCTGCTCTCCCTGTTGGGGGCAGTGTTTTAGCTTACAACCTAAAGATCTAGATCAGTATCACACACACTTTTCCACATCATATCCTGCCAGAAGGGTTGAACTCTCACTACCGTGTCTTGGCCAGCAAGGTTCCAGCTGAAGACATTTTCACTTTCAGTCCAGGCATCCTTGATAGTTCAGCCTCAGCTCTGATGGAGAAGGTAAGAACCAGGAGATGTCTCTGGGGCTAAGATCTGGACTTCACTCAATGTTACTTTTCATTCTTTCTGTTAGTAAAATCAAGACATAGGTTTAGTTTGCATTCAGAGGACAGAACATCAACTCTTTTCTGGAAGGGTAAAGGGATGGAGTCAAGTAAATAGGTGGCTAGGAAAAATGACAGGCTGTCAGCAGCCTACCTCATTATATTACAGAACGTTCAAGGAACAACCAACGAGCAAGCCAGGGCCCTCACATCCTCTATTGTGGACCATGGTAGATACATTCTGAGAGGAGCCATCAGTGGAAATGAAAATAGGCATGCTAGGGACAGACTATAACTCCAAAATAATTTCCAATAATTGCACATTCCTTGACCATAATTTTAACTTAAAATAGCATGAATTACAAAGAACCAATACTTGGCAATGAGTCAACAAATGAAAACTATTGAATTTCCTTCCAGATTTCACTAAAATTGCGTGCAACTGCCAGATTTCCCTTCATGGTGGGACTCCATTCCACAGTGTGTGACTATCAGAATAATATGCAGAGACTGAGGAGATTCTCTTTGCTGTAAACAAGCAGCTTATCTCTGCAAAATTGTTCATAGCTTGAACTGCCAAAACATCCTCAGAAGCCATTTAGCTCAGTTTACCGCTCCATGTCCCACAGAGGCGTGTGTGGGTCACTTGATAGATCTGTCACCAAGAGGCTGAACCTTATTATTGCTCATGCTGACACAGATCTGTTTGGGGAAGGACATATCTTTATGGGGAAAATGTTACTTCTGCATCAGGTGAGCTGAAAATTTAAAAAGAGAATTCACCCTCTGTTAAAGTTATAAAATTTAGAAAAAAAATATTGCGTGAAATATAAGTATTTTCATTGTCTGTTTGAAATTCAGATTTCAGTAGCTGTTGTGTTACCATCTGGAAACCTTAACTCTGTAAACTTGAGTTCAGATTATATAGAAACTAACAGATAAACAAACACTAATTCTTTGTTTTTATTAGTAGTAACTTTAAATTTCTAAATAAACCTTCTTTTTTCTCTATTTTCAAGAAATATTTCAGCTCATCCCTTATCATATTGGTGTTTAGGTAAACAAACTACTTATTGACTGATTTCTTTTCCCTTAATCACTTTCTCAATTAGTGTACTCTGGACAAAGCCATAAGTAGGGAGTTTTAGAGTCAGAATGCCTGGAAATTCAATGCAAAGTGTTGGTAAACTCTGCCAAAGGCCACCTACCATCATGAAATGGATGGTCAACAGGCAATAGAAGAAAAATTTGAAAAGAACTTTGATGAAAGACTTTTAGTTTCTAAAACAAAAAAAGTTTGAAATGGGTTTTGTTTTTTGTTTTTTCTATTCAAAGTATGCAAAGATTCTTGTAGTATGTGTCTTTCCAACCCCTTTTCTGGGTCTATTCTCAGGCCTTTCTTCTAACCTCATCTTTACAAACTACCTTTCTCCATACTTGGTTGATGTAGGAGTTATTTAAAAGTGATGAGTTAAAAAAAGGTATCTTCTGACAAAATACAGCTTTAGGAAATATTAGATTTTAAAAATTATACTTCTCAACTGGGAAAAATTGAACTAACATTCTAAAAATGTGAATATTCCAGGTGCTTCCATTGTCTTTTTTGGGAACTTTTAAGCTCTTTTATTCTTTCACACTAGGGTACAAAGCAAATACCTGTGCATGTTCCAAGATCAAGCTCAATTTTGTATATGACGCAACTTCGGTAAACTTTTCTCAGCCCTCCACACCAAATTAATCCATTCTTCATCTTTGTGTTCAAATTCAAGTGACATATTTGTTCAATTTATCCAAGATTTCCTGATTTTTGCCTCCCAAATTATACATTGAGGAACCCCTGCCCATTCTCCATTCCCAATCCCCAGCAAATCACAATAGCTGACCATTCGTCACATCTCTTAGGAACTGGCTCTTCAAAGACAGTACCAGTGCGTCCTTTATCAATACTAGTATTTGCATCCCTCATATAAGTTCAGTGTCAGGTAGTTAATAAATGCTCAGTGATGTCTGTTGGGTGATTGAATGAATGAAATCATAAGACACCTCATGGAAGGAAAAGCAAAAAGAAAGGAGAGAAGATGGGGTAACTTAAGAACACAAATACACTGCGATAGAGCTTCTACCTCCACTCTGCTGAACACCATAATACTCTCCATGCTTTTCTTAAAGAAGTGTTTTATTAGTATATGTTCGCAATATGTAATGATTACATTCATTGTAAGATGCTGGTACATGTCCATAACTCATCTTAATTCTTCATTTATCCCCTCCCCCATTCTTGATCCCCTTCCTTTTGCAAATGTTCTATCTCCCTGGTTCTTATAATCTGTCTTTTTCTCTTTAATTTATTTATACCTTTGGTATTTAAGTTCTCATGTCTGATTTATTTCCATAAGCATTATAATCTCAAGGTATATCCATCTGCCTAGAAGTGATTCAAGTTTATCCTTCTTTATAGCAGAGTGTCAAAAGCATTTTAAAAACTACTGATTATTTTACTCCACCAGTTGATGAAGCCTGTGGAGTTACGGGCTTGGGATAGGATGTTTTAAAAATTTCCTAGGAAGAATTCTAAAGTACAGATGGTGTTTAAAACCACTGAGTTGAAGCCACCCCACAGCATTCAAAAACTTAGCAGTAGAATTAATCTAGAAAAAATACTATAAAATTAAAATATGTACAGAGGAAGGACAATTCTAATGTAATTTTCTAATAACTTTACTGCAGAAGTTCTCTTATGGCCACTCCCGTGCCTCTTCTCTTCTGATCCATAATTATCCTCCCAGTTCTATGGGACTCTGACTACTTTCTAGAGAGAAGAAATAAAAAAATAGAGAAATATTTTGGATGATCATCCCTACAAACTAATGGGTATAGTGAATATGTCTTAAAATATTTACTTAGAAAAATAGCATCTGAGGTCATGTAAAGAAAATAGCAATTTTAATTCACATATCCAGGCAGCAGACTTGCTACTTTTAGACTAAATAAATGTGTGCCACACATTACCTTCAAAACCATTTATTTCAAAGGTTATAAACAATACTTTATTACCTCATTGGTCTGTGTCCTTGGATTAAGAGAGCTTTCAATGTAGAGTCCTCTTTGCCTCTTTGTAGTGTGTTTCTGTCAGTAAAGAAGTCTATATATATACATACATATATATATATATATATATATATATATATATATATACCAGTATACCAGGTTATATGTGATCCTTAATCACAGACTCTCCCTAGGATTCCCATCGTAACCACTGTATCTGCGTAAAATTCCTTGCTCAGATCCCCTTGGCGTCTTTCAGCTTTCTATAAAAAGCAGACACATTTGAAGGAAAAAGAGGATAAAAATCCACAGGAAAGAAACAAAGATCACGTATTGTACTACCTTTTACATTTTATCTGACATGACTCAAGTCTTAAAATCATTTCTGAAAATTGTTTTGAATTTTATTTAAAATTTTTATAAAAGAATTTTATATGTGCTGGCTCTGTGTCTCATAGCACTGTTTGATGATCCAGCTAAACATATTATCCTAACTGACTTTTCACATTTGGGTATTTTTCAGTTCCCGTGTATGTCTTCCAGACATTTGCACAAAATGACAAGTCTGATATTCAGTCCAAAGCACAGGAAGGGCCTTTGACGCTTCAGATTCATTGAAGTCACAGTACACCCTCACTGACCCAAGAAGCCTGGTATTTGGAGACACAAATGACTTTTCTCTCCTCTTGTTTATTGTTATTAAAGTGACATCAAATTATATAGCCTCATATAAGATGCCAATAATATGGAATTGTAAAGATAAAAATTGTAAGGCCTTTTTTATGGCCTCTCATATCCCCTCCAGAGGTTATTGCTTTCAGCATTCAGTATGTGAAATATACCCATTTTTAAACAGTGCTTTACAGGACTTATTTAAAATTTATTTCCTTCTCTAAACTTTCAGATACCTTTTTTTTCAAGCATTCAGATAGGTATATATAAATCTCAAATCGTGGTTATCAGAAGCTGATGTTCCAGAGTGTGAATCCCCAGGCCCTTCTTGGATTCACCCTGTTCTTTAAGTGTGTATGTGACACAGGGAGCTGTGGATTATCAGTGCCAAGAACAATCACAGCATGTGCAGCTCCAGAGTTTAGCTGTTTATTACCTGCATGACATTGGGCCAACTCCTTCATCGTTTTGAAATTCTGCATCTTCAAAATCAGAACCTGCATGATAAACAGCTGAGAGGATTGTTGCAAGGATTAAATGAGATGACCCATGCAAACTGCTCCTGTAATATGATACATGCAATAAATATGACAAGCCAACACACTAATTTCAAGTTCATCATTATCATTACGGATTTCACTCTCAGCATGCAGCTAAAAAGAGGCATAATTTTTTACGTGTCTTTTTTTTTTTTACTTATTAGTAGCTTGGCAGTGTGGTATGTTGGAAGATTGTGAAATTTTTGATTGCAGTGATACTCAGTGTCTCCTCTGGAAAATTAATTCTTCCACAGCCTCCAACCATATTGACTTGCAAACTCTCCAAAGCTCACAGAATAGGGTGGCACTTGGAGAAATTATTCCACTGTTCACTAAATTAATCCAAAGCACTTCATAAGAGCAAGGGGAAGAAATAGGGTATTAAAAATCTTGGGGGAATTGTACAGGGAGGCAGGAAGTCAACAGTGAATCCCAGGGCACCCAGTGTCTGTGTCTTCTTCCTGTCTGTCATACAAGCCTTCCCTGTGGAAGGAATGTTTGCAAAGATCAGAGCAGAGAATTGAACCAGGAAGGCCAGCAGATGGAAGACGCCTGAGCCAAGACACACTCAGATCTTCTGAAGGATACAGTGCATCCATCTGGCAAATGACCACACTTGCCTGTCAGACTGATGAGCAACAACAATCGTATCGGTATTTCTCTGGCAGAGAACACATGGGCAGAATGGGTGTCACCCATGGGTGGGTAATTTAAGGCCTCATGAATATTTATCACCTACTTGGCCCTTCCCTGCCATCTTATCCTTCCTCACACAAAGGCTATCTGCTTACTGTATCTACATCCAACACAGATCTCAAATTGATTCTTATTATGTATGTTTCTCACAGCAGAATAGACCACTCTTCAATCATAGAAAAATTCTCATTGGGAGGGTGCAGTAGTTAAACCTCTACTCTTGAACTCAGGCCATGGATTCAAGTTCCAGCACCATCATTATGTGAACATAGGTGCAGGACTTTATTTTGCTATTTCAGTTTCCTTCTCTGAAAAATGCAGGTAGTGACGACTCCCAATACACCTATCTGGTAAGGCAGTTCTGCCCCCAAGAAGTTGGAAAGAGCATCTTTTGTCTGAAGGATAAAGGGCTTCCAAGTGCCACTACCTCCTGCCACATGCTAAACAGATGTTAGGGTAAGAAGTTTGAAAACTGCTTTTATCCAGCCCTTAACACAGTAATTAATTTACACAGTTGCATAAATGCCTTGTAACTGATATTTTGAATCATTTCCTGGATAAAATAATCACACTTGAGAGTGTTTGGGAGAAGGTGAAAGTGAGAAACACAAGAGGATTGATCTCAGAAAAGGTAGGCATATTTTATCACTTCGCTCAGAAATGCTATAAATGATTATATATACAAGGGGCATTAATTCACCTTATTTCTAGGCATAATCTGTTGCAGTGAAAATTGAGGATTTAATACTTCCTTACGATTCAAACTTTCATTCAAAATGGAGTTTAACAAGATAAGCAAAATGTAGACACAAAGGAGAAAGTATTTCTCTATTTCATTAATCCATTCGCTTAGCACAAATCTAAGTGTAGTCCTGGGAGAAACCTCAAGAGTTCATCTTTTCTTGTTGCTTAGCCTCCGTGGAAGCATTGTGTTGAGTAAATTACCAGCAACTGCAATTAATGGGGAGACAAATTAATGTAAAGAAGTGCTGAACAGGTAAAAGAAAATTGAATGAAAGGAAATCAAGAGATGGTTAACTGTTAGCAGAACGAGAGAGACAGAGAAAATAAAAATGTAACAAGTGTCTAAATCAGAGTTCTAAGCTGTTAGATTCACGCTCAACTTGGTGCGAATTTCAAGGATTATTTTCCAATTCCAAGTACCCTCACATATTCTGACAAACAAACCCCATTAGGCTTACATGCTATTTGGGTTCAGTTGACTGCTGATTCTTATGAAAAGATCAGGTAAGGTTTCTCCTCAGCAAGGTCAAAATCTTTAAAATCATCAGTTTTATCAAGGGGAAAAATTTGGACATTTTGCAATCTGTTGAAAACTGAGTTACTTTTAAAAGGTCACAGAAATGATCCTGAGGGTTTCTGTGGAAGGATACATTTTTCTCACAGGACCGTCTGCTGTGTACGATGAGTCCAGGTGAGACCAGAAGTGACAGAAGGTGGCAGACGCCCCTTCCTGGGTCTTGTGGTAGGAGAAAATTTAGGAAGCATCAGAAGCTCTTTTTCTTGTCTTTAGTTGCACCATCGTGCTAGCCTTGAAGTCCTGAATCAATCAAAAATGTTTACCTTTCATGGTCATTTTGACATGGAGGAGGAGCCTTGGATGAGGACACCACATAACATTCTTATTATCAGCCTGCCTTTGTGTTGGATGCTGCACTGCAAAAATTAGATATTTTTTATCAAAACTTGTGAAGATACTCAACAAAGAGGACTCCAACACTGCTTCAGAGAGTGGCCAGAACAATGAAATAAGCAGGTTCAAGAGGGGGTGAGTTTGGAGGGTCACTAATGACAGTGTGTCTTTTACTGTAATCATTTTTTTTTAATTTACACATTCACTATATATTTTGATCATACTTCATAACATTCCAGAACATTTTAAAGGATCAAATCAGGTCCCCCAGAAAATTTAGGACTCTCTCTCTTACTTAAAATCAGCTGCTAGTGACTTTAATCACATCTTCGAAGGACCTGTACAGCAACAAACAGATTAACACCTAAGAACTGGGTACTATTTTTATACCAAGTTTCTATTAGATCTTTGAACAGAATGGTTTTTACTGTCAGTGTTTGTACACTCTTTATGCTTTGATTTTGTAACTTGAACAACTATTACTAAGAGGACAATATATAACTTATCGACTAGTAATTTCTTAGTGTTAATATTTTTCTTTGAAATTCTGTATTACTTCTACGCTTTTTTATGTTTTGTCTTGCTTTTCTTTCTTTTTTATTTAAATAAAAAATTTTAAAACAAAAGAATTGGGTACTGGAGCTTAGTTACATTGGTATATTAATCCATGTTCAAGCCAGACTATCAGCCATGTACATGCCAGGCACTGAGAACTTTGAATGTTTCCTTACTTGTACCTCATAACAAGGCTATGAAGAAAATAAAGCATGAGGGGATGTGAAATAAATTATTCAAGATTGCATAACAAATCAATGCTGACCCAAAATTCCAGCCCCAGTAGCCTGCGTCCAAAAACTGTGCTTCAACCATGACTTTATTGATTATGCTTGAATTCAAGCTTCCCAGGTGTTTTGAAAAATATTTTCTAGCATGCTCAGTGTTGTTTATGTACCAAATGGAAAACTGGTTTTCCTGTCAAAATTTCCCTTATGTCCTGGCTTACATTCTGACTGCTTTGCTAGAAAGGTTACTTTTCTTTAAGATCATATTTCTGAGAAATAGCATTGTAGTTACCCTTATGATAATGAGTAACAAAGGTTATATATTAATTTCCATATATAGGACAAAGTAATTTTGTTTAGTCTTCATTCAAAATGTGTGCCCTTCTAATTTAGTGTTTAGAGCTACTTCATAATATATTGTAAGCCTCTGCAAAATGACAGACCTAGTGGCAATTTGAGAAATGTCACTCATATTTCTAGAAGAAATTGTTTCATGACAGAGATGAACTCTCTGTTTGCTGCTTAGCAATGGAATGGAAACAAGAACAGTTGGGAAAAAAGTCACTAGGTCACACATTTATAGTCTGGAAATTATTTGGGAACTTCATCATTTAGTATAGTACTATTTTCCCCAGGAGCAATTACTGAGGAGAAGAGAAAGCTTTCATTTGTGTGAGGACTTGGGTGGTTTAAGCCAATGTCGAAGGCCACACTTTGTGTGTTTTTCCAAGTTGTCCAGGGTGTGCAGACATGGGCTGTAGTCACCTGCTGTGTGACCACGACAGAGCTGAGCAAGCAGGTGTGAGTTCTCCTGCATGTGTTTATCAACCAGAAGGGACTGCTCTCACAACACTGCCAGATTCTCTTATGCTAAAAGCCCCAGTTACCTCCCAAAGGATGTCGAGGGACTCACATAAGTGAGCAGGCTGTTGGCAAGATGTCACTGCACCCAAAACTGTTACCTGGAAGACTGGATGTCTCCTCTTTGCCTCGGTGAGTCCTCACAGAGGAACATCTCATTCTCCAAGTTACTGTTTTAGGAGATGGAAACATTAAAGCGTCAGTAGGAAGACACAGGTTTATTACAACATGTCTACCAGTGAGTTGTCTGCCTCGTTACTCCTCAACTACAAAAATGCATTCTAAATTATTAATATTTTATATACATAAAGATAAAATAACAGATATCTATGAAAATGCCACTGAGATGAAGCAGATGGTAACATGCCTTACCTTGTTTGTTTTATATCCTTTAGGAGATATAGAACATTAGAGTCAGCTTTAACCTTACTCCCAAACTTGTCCCACGCCTTGTTTTCTAGACCAACCACTATGTGAACAGTAATGTTTATTGTTGTGATCCATCTTTTCTGCTCAGATTATCTATCTTTCGGCCTATTCGTCTGTCCACTCATTATCTATTTATCCATGTGAGTCTGGCCGTTTAATGTAATATAAATTCAACATTGTATTATATATATATACTTTCACAATTCATTTTTATCCTTCAGTTATATATTTGAGATTTTCATGATACAGATCTAGTTCAGTCATTTCATTTCTTGGCTTTGTTGTGCTTTTACTGCTATTAGAAATAGCAGTGTAACAACCGTCTGTATAGGCTTCCCTGTGCAAAGACGTTAGAGATTCAAGGAGGAAGAGCGCTGCCAGGACAGTGGTCGAGTGGGTCGGTTTGTGTATTCTGAACTATCCTCTTACAGCTAAGTTCTCTTCACTAGTTTCCCACTGCAGGGAAAGGACAGGTGTGGTGGCCCTGTAGTGCACAGCTATACTAGGGATTGTCCTGGATGCTACTGAGTAGCCTGGAAGTGACATAAACCATCAGCCCTTTGGTAACAATCGTGTTTTCCTGCTCAAAGGCAAAACCTGTAACCATATTTAGTATATCTTTGCAGCTCATAATATTTCATTTCTTTTGATG